CCAACTAGAGAGACCAATGAGAAGCACGCAATTGAACGGAAAGCGTGCTTCTTATTGGTCTCTCTAGTTGGTAGTTCAATGTCCACTTTCCAGAGGCGCTGAAACCAGCTCAATTTCTATCGCAGCTAAATCGCGGGCATGACCGCTCTGCTTTTGCATAACGTTGCATAACGCACAAGACATAAGAGACTGTCTACAATACGTCGTATGTTAGATTGTAAGCCGTAAATCGTAAGAATTGACCAATCACAGTTGAATGTAAGAAAAATATTCGACTATGATTGGTCAATTCTTACGATTTACGGCTTAAGGCCGAGACACAGACTTTTGCATAACGCTGCATAACGCATAAGACGTAAAGCATAAGAGAATCAACCAATCAGAATCCTTCATTTCTCTGATTGGTTGATTTTCTTATACCTTATGTCTTATGCGTTATGCAGCGTTATGCAAAAGTCTGTGTCTCGGCCTTTACGATCTTACGACGTATTGTAGACAGTTCCTAAAGCATACGAGAATCAGCCAATCAGAGAGAGAGATGAAATGAAGAACTCTAATTGGTTGATATTCTTATGCATTATGTCTTATGCGTTATGCAGCAATGCAGCATTATGCAAAAGTCTATGCTCCCGGCTTTAGCCTTTGAGTATATAGACATGGAAGAGGAATGTTGGCTTGAAAACTGTGTCCAAGATGTGTGCGAGAGAGAAAGGTAGACGAGTAATATTCATTCTCTCTGCGCATGCGTCGACCATTCGACAGACAAAGAGGATAAGTATCACGTGGTATCGCTTGCATACCATTCTCTCTTGCACTCCTTGCCATTCTTGGACAAACTAGAATCCTAGATTATCAGAGAAGCGCGACCGGCTTATGGCAGTATCACAAAAGTACTAGAAAATATTAAAAATGTACTAAAAATGGCGTCGAATGGACAATCATAAGATTGATTTATTCGACAGCCATTTATAATACCGATAAATCAATCTTATGATTGGCCATTTGCGAGTCCAATCAGGACTCTACTCTGTAGAGTCCTAAATTATCAGAGAAGCGCGACCGGTGTTATGAGTCCTGATTGGACTCGCAAATGACCAATTATAAGATTGATTTATCGGTATTATAAATGCCTGCCGAATGAATCAATCTTAGCGTCGTCTGTCGCATCACGATTAATCGACCAAAATATTTCATTTTATTGCATCATTTGCCACGCGACTTCTTGCACGATGTATCGATTAGGTTACTCGACATTCTAGAGATAAAATTATCCTTTTTTGTATGAAATCCAGGATCGCGCGGCAAATTATGCAATAAAATGGAATGTTTTGATTGGTCAATTCGGATAACGCAACGCGTGACGTGCTTAGTGGGAACGCACCCTTATGATTGGCCATTCGACGCCATTTTCAGTACATTTTAAATATTTCCTTTAGTACTTTTGCGATACTGCTATAAACCAGTCGCGCTTCTCTGATAATGAAGTCTACTTCAGGGCTGCGTTCAGGAATTCACGGTATATCATGTTATCCTTGTTATTCACCAAATGTTAAACAAGGATAAAATAATAATTAGATACACCTAGGCGAAGTTTCTGAACGCAGCCCAGTGTATCCCTATGCATTCTTCAAATTACGTCTTCCTCCCCTCTAGAATCAGCTGTTGAATGCCGCACGTGTTTTCTTTTATTTTGTCGAGTCAGCAAATCGCTTATCATCGCGTCGTGTTAAATTGAATAATAAAAGAGCGTGATTCACAGCTTATTGGCTAAACATGACTAAGAAAAACAACGTCGCGTGAAAGAGAGGGAAAAGAAGAAAGAAGGAGTAAATCTTGCAATTTTTTCATCTTGACAGAATATCGCTTTGATAATACGCGAGGTTCGCCATCGGAATCTTTAACGTAGGCGGAATAATAGTGAAGGGTGTGATGCACAGCGACAAAATATCTTAAACGTCTGACAAGTCTGGCAATTATTAATAGATGAAATACATATGTTAGAACAAAGGCTACAGAATAATTTCGTGAGTATTATAGATAAAATTAGAGGATAATTGATGATGTTATATTTACGAACGCTCCGAACGTTCAATGTAAACAAAATATTTAATGTAGAATATTTAATGTAGAATATTTAAATATTCTTAGGTCTTCTTAGTTATATTTCCATAAAATTATTTTTCACCGAATCGTTAACAGAATAATTAATTGATTGAATAATTTTTTAAAATCTCTGCTCTATGTTATCTACTATTTTTTTCCTTAATGTTTTTATCAATATAATTATGTCTTCTTTTTTATTGCATGTACTTGTTACTAATTATACAAATTGCAATGCGGTTTGTATTAGTTTCTTATCAGTGATATAAAAATATTATTTTACATGTACAACACATATTATTTACATATATAACACATACATTGGCAAGTGTATAATTACACTTATCTATTTTGTCGCTTTTAATTTGTAATAACTTGTAATTTGTTTAGCATGTTTTAATTTGTTATTTTATAAAAAGATTTATGTAAAGATATTTAATATTATTGCAAGATGAAGATCACTTAATTTTAATTCTTTGAAATAAAAATATGATAAAAATTGATTTATAAAGTGTAAATGCGAAAAATTGTATTAAATTAAAAATATTGCATATTTTTAAACTTGATTTTTTAAATATTTATTTTAAAATATTTATTCATGTGTTTTAAAATTAAGTACTACTTATTAGACTACTTATGAGCTTCTTACTTTAAAACTACTTATACTAAATAGCTTATTACTTTAAACTGTACTTATTAGACTACTTATTAGTTTATTACTTAAAAATTATTAGGTATATAGCTTATTACTTTTCTTTAAATCAAACTCTTTTGATAAAATAATATTTGAAATATATTGACTGCAAAAATTGTTACTTTTATCTTCATACTTTTAAATGAATTTACTAATTTAGTATTAGTAATCTTTTAATTTCTAGGTTAAATTATTTTTTATAATTATTTAGCTTATATTATATGGAATTTTATAGATTATATATACATATGCATATACACATACATTTTTTCTTCTTAAGAAAAACTGTATTCTAAAAATTTAATTTATCAACGACCTTCAATTGATTATCTCTTATCAAAAAGCATTGTAATATCTCCTATATATAGACAATATGATAAATACAACATACATATCTTGAGTTTCATTGGCATCAACATTTAAAAACTTTGGGTTTTTTCTGTATTTAGTTGTTTCTTGTAATTATAATTTAAATTTTTTATTAAGCTGTTTATATAAAGAGCAAGAATTAACTAATTTTTTTAAGCTATATAAACTTTGTACTTTATCCTATTATACTTTGTTTCATAATTTTTATTATGTATGTAATCATTATTATATTAATCCCAACTCAATATAAACGCAAAAATTTAAATATTTTAATATTTCCATAGATATAAACTATATATGTAATATAATTTTAATATAGCTCAATCATATATATTTCTCTTTATTCATGTAATAGGTTGATGATTTATATTGTATGCTGATGTGTTGTAAAAGCATTGAGATTTATACTTCTATAACAAATTTCCAATCCTTTAAATGTAGAAGATAGTACAAAACAATTTTTAATGGATCGTTATAAGAGATTTTTTATCAGAAGGTAAATTATATTTAAATTTTTATTATTGATTATTACTAGAATTATTGTTGTTACAAAAAAAGTATTATTGCTTATTATAAAATAATAAAATATTAATTATATTATTAATTAAAGTCAATGTAATTTTTTTTATTAGATATTTATATCTTTAGATATTTATTTTAAATATAAACTAATATACATACTTTATAGATGCATGTATATACATATCGCGGCATTGCTGCAATAGTGTCATATCTCGAAAATTGACAATTTTGAGTTATTCATCACCAGATAAAAGCACACGTCAAAATCCATCTTTTCCAATGAATAACTCAAAATTGTCATTTTTCAAGATATGACGCTATTGCAGAAATGTCGTGATGTATACAAATTTACATAAAATATTAAATATTTTTAGGCAACCTGAACTTCCTATTGACGATTTAGAAACTGCGCTTGAAAGACAAGAACGATGGAGGAGTATTCGTATGATTTATTTTACTATGTTCTTGATGTCACTTGGCTTCAGTATTATACTTACTGGAGTTTGGCCATACTTAGGCAAGGTAGTATATGTAGTATATATAATCAAGATATATTGACAAAGTTATAAAAATTACAATTATATACTTAATAAATGTGTTTCAGTTGGATCCTACTGCAGGAAAAGAATTTATGGGTTACATAGTGGCAGCAAATCCACTTGGACAAATGTTATTCTCACCTCTGGTGGGTTGGTGGGGTAATAAAAGAGGGTCAGTAAGATTGCCACTTTTAGTGACCTTAACATTATTTACTATTGCATCAGCAGCATATAGTATTCTTGAAATTATACCTGGTGATA